CCGTGACGGTCTTGGCTCCAAGCGATGCTACGAGCAGCTGCAAAACTACGTCGATGCCCTTGCCCACAAGAACCCCTCCATGGAGATTCTCGAGATTGGCGCCGGAACTGGTGGCGCCACTCGCCCGACCATGAAGACGCTCACGGACAACGGCCGTCGATACAAGTCTTACTGCTTTACTGATATCTCCCCTTCGTTCTTTGAGCAAGCCAAGGAAACTTTCAAGGACGAGGTGGGACTTATGAGCTTCCGCGTTCTGAATGTTGAGAACGACCCCTTGGGCCAGGACTTCGAAGCCGGCAAATACGACCTGATCATTGCCGCTAACGTTTTGCACGCCACTAAGAAGATCGATGATACCCTGTTCAATGCCCGGAAGCTTCTCAAGCCCGGCGGCAAGCTTCTTCTCTTTGAGATCACCAACACCGCTGTGCTCTTGAGCAGTTTCTGCTTCGGCGTGCTGCACGGTTGGTGGCTTTCGGAAGACAAGGACCGAATCTGGGGGCCATTGATGTCTGCTCCATCTTGGGACCATCATCTGCGCAAGTCAGGCTTCGGTGGCCTCGATGCAGTGTTTGACGACTTCTCGGGCTCATATCACCGGATGAGTTCCATCCTCGTCTCAACTGTTCCCAAGACAGAGGAGAATACTGCCTCAATCTTCCCGGAATACATCTTGACCACTGGACAGCCCTCGCAGCTTAAGATCGCCGAAGGCCTCAAGCAGCAGCTCGGATCTTCGGAGGTCGTGGACCTCTCAGCTGCCACAGAGAAGGACATGACTGGCGCCAACTGCGTTGTTCTCGCCGAGTTCGACAGCCCTATTCTCAACAACATCACGGAAGACGTCTTTGAAGGGATCAAACGTGTGCTTACTCAGTGCAAGAACATTGTATGGCTCACTCGCGGCGCTTCAGACCCCAACGCCGACCTTGTGACCGGCCTCGCAAGAGTAATTCGGTCGGAGAGACCCGACGTCAAGTTCTTGACGCTTTCTTTCGAGCAGGCCGCCAGTGAATCACTCGTAATTGAGAAGACCGCCCAAGTTCTTCATGCCGCTCAGTCTGGGTCCGAGAACGCTTTCAGGGTGGCCGATGATGTTGTCAATGTGTCTCGCCTGGTACAGGCACAGTACCTCACTGAGCACATCCAGAACCAGACTGGCAGCTTGGATGTTGTTACCAAGCCTCTCGGCGGGGAGTCGTCTCGCTACTTGAGTCTTCACACGGGTACCATCGGCAAGGTCGACTCGCTCAGGTTCGAAGATGACGCTCTCTTCGATTCTCCCTTGGCAGACAACGAGGTCGAGATCAAGGCCATGGCCTGCGGTCTCACCATTCAGGACCTGTCATCGGCACTCGGCAAAATCGATGAAGCCCCGCTGGGTTGCGAAGCTGCTGGTGTTGTTACCAGAGTTGGTTCGACTTCCAAGTTCCTAGTCGGTGATCGTGTCTTCGGTTTGTCCAAGTCTGGTGCTATCAAGACGCATGTGAGATCCACGGACGGCCTTCTCGCCAGGTTGCCAGACAACTTTACATGGTCTCAAGGTGCCTCTCTTCCCGTCGCTTACACGACAGCTTACGCAACTCTCCACGAACTGGGCACTGTTCGCATGGGTGAGATTGTCCTGGTCCACGAGGGAGCGTCTCACCTGGGCACAGCGGTCATTCAACTCGCTCAGATGCGTGGCGCCGACGTCTTCGCAACTGTCAAGAACGCCACAGAGCGCGAACTCTTGGAGAAGGTCTGCGGTCTTTCCCAAGACCGCGTCTTCGGGGCTCGCGACAGGTCCATCAAGAAGGCCCTCCAGACTTCGACTCAAGGCCGTGGCGTCAACATCCTCGTCAACACCGCCGACAACACCGAGTTCCTTGACGCGGTTATGGAATGCGTTGCACCCTTCGGACGTATTGCCAACGTCGGCGGACAAGACGGTGACTCAAGTGCTCGCCTGCCACGAGGTCGCAATATCCGCTTCGAGTCTTTCGACCTTGCTTCGTGCACTGCTCATGACCCGACTCGTACTGAGAGCATGTTCCAGCGCATGACTGAGATGGTCTTGACTGGCTGGGACACCATCAGCACGGCTCCATCACCGACTACCTACCCCTTCTCAAAGGTCCACGATGCTTTCCGCCATTTGCAAACTGATGGTACCAGTTCCAAGCTTGTCCTGGAGCCCCGTGACGACGACTTGGTTCCCATCCTGCCGACTCGCAAGTTCGAAAGCCGTTTTGACCCTGAGGCTTCTTATGTCATTGCCGGTGGTCTCGGTGGACTAGGAAGGTCGGTCGCGCGATGGATGGCATCCCGTGGTGCTAAGAATCTCATCCTACTTTCTCGACGTGGCGCTGTCGAGGAATCTGCCAAGGAACTTGTCAAGGAGCTTGAGGGCGTTTGCAACAAGGTCGTGACGCCCGCATGCGACGTGACTGATGTCGACGCTCTCAAGAATCTCATGACTGAGCTGTCATCTTCCATGCCTCCCATCAAGGGCTGTATTCAGGGCTCCATGGTTCTCAAGGTCAGTATTTGATGTTTACTGCCCCTTTATAACGATGCTAATTCTGGAGTAGGACAATATGTTCGAGAACATGTCGCTCGACCACTGGAAAGCAGCCGTTTTGCCAAAGGTCCAGGCGTCTCAGAACTTGTACCAAGTTCTTGGAGACAAGACCGACTTCTTCGTCTTCCTCTCGTCGACTGTTGGCATCACAGGAAGCCCCGAGCAAGCCAACTACGCTGCGGGTGGCACTTTCCAAGACGCTTTCGCTCGCCACCTCGCTTCCAAGGGCGTCAACGCCGTCTCAATTGATCTGCCTATCATCCAGGGTGTGGGCTACGTCGCCGAGAAGCCGGAGCTCTTCGAGTACCTTCGCTCTTCTGGTTGGACCTACATCAATGAGGCGGAACTCCGGGCCGTGCTCGACTACCACTGCCGTCCTTCCAATGCCCCCGTGCAAGCGTCGAAGGCCCAGGTCATTCCTCGCCTCTGGCTGCCCCAAGAAACCGCTGCCCAGGGCTACCAGACACAATCGTGGGGAGAAGATCCCCTTTTCAGCCATCTCGAGCTTGGTCAGACAGACGCTGATGCAGCCGGCGCGATTGAGGCCAACAAGGCCATCAACCACAAAGCACTGCTTGCCGGTGCCGCATCATGGGAGGATGCCGAGAAGATTGTGCTGGAGGCTTTGCTCCTCAAGGTTTCGAGAATGCTCAGCATCGAGGTGGAAAACCTTGACATTGGCAAGCCTCTACATGCATACGGAATCGACTCCCTCACGGCCGTTGAGCTGCGGTCTTGGCTCATGAAGGAGCTTGGTGCAGAGGTTTCGCTGTTCGATATCACCAACAACTCTAGTCTGTCCCAGCTGGCTGGAACTGCTACCAAGAAGAGCACTCTGAGACCAAAGTTTGAGTAGGAGTTTGGTCTTCAAACGCGGACACTTCAATATTTTCTTCTCTCTTGGTTATTTTTTCGGGTGTTCGGCGAAATGGTTGTTAGATATCCGTGGAACTCGGGAATGTTTCGTCTTTGCGAATGTATTGTTGTTCACGAATCACACGCCATTATGATAGAAATCAGTTATAATGAATCACGCTTCGTTAGATTTGTTAGAAACCATCGATGAAAATGGCCCCATCGTAGCTCTATGTTGATGACATATAGAGGCCTAGACTATCCTCCTGCAGCTAGCCACCCGGGCTTGATTGGCCGAGCTGCATACCTCTTCCGTATTTTTCCCGCACATCTTAGACGCCCCCTCACCTTTGTTGATGGTGGGGTCAAATCTGTTCATTTCAAATGAGCTCTCAGCTTCCATGATAACAGAGAATTTCTCAACTCTTCACTCCGTCACGACTCTCGGGGGATGATACCTATAAAAATGACGTCGTCATGGCTCCAAGATCACCACTTACAGTATTTGAAGCTGCGAAGTGGGCTCTCTCCTGACCAAGCAATCTCGCGAAGAGGGCAGTTCACAGCAGAAAGCCCCCACACATGCGCGCATTGCCAGAAATTGAAGATCACGGAAGTGCCACAAGTACAGGCACAAGACGTGTGGTTTTCCAACCCCGAATATTCCAGTACCTTCCAATTGGAACCACGCGTAGACTTCCGGGAGGCAATCGAAGGAGCAAAGGCCGGCTGCGAACTGCTGATTTGGATGGCTGATCACCTTGCGACTCAATTCTCTCTCACGGGCCTAGCTGCCAAAGTCAATCCAACCTACGGATTCGGCTTGATTGGAAGTGGTTCGATGCCAAGATTTAAGCTGCTTCTCACATCAGAAGGTTCGCAAGTTGATCTGCCGCGCTCACGGTATGACAACGAAGTACTGCTCGATGGCTGGACAACTGAGGGTAAGTAGTGGAGTTTTCCCCATCTTCATCTCATAGGAGAGGTCCTGTCGATTTCTTAGTCTTAGACTTTGCCTCTCTTACTATGAGATAAGAATCGGATGTTGCTACTGTTGCCAGCATTGCTTGCAACGTCTTTGGTCATATCTCTTCGTAGCGCTGAGCATGGGTATCTCGTCGACAGCGAAGCTGACACTCAGTTGATAGACAATCCAGCTGCTAGCATCATTCATCAAAGGCCCTGTGAATCTAACAAGGCATCTGCGATTTCTCGTGTGTTTGCTCAGCAGAGTTTCAAGGCCTGTTTTCACACCCATGCCGAATGTCGGTCTCAGCATATTAGTGACTCGTCCGACGACGCGCCCGAAATTTTGGAATTGTCTGAGGCACCCTCTAGACTGCTCTATATCGGACTGAGAGACGACAAGCTGTTTGTGACCTTAACGAATACGCCTGCGATTTCCAGCACACAGATCGGCCAGAGACTCTCAGCTGGTGGTTACGTCACGCTGTCGTACTGCTGGGGAGGTGATCAGCCTGTGAAATTGACGGCAACAAGCCAAGATTCACTGAAGCAAGGCATTGACTCGACTGACCTACCCAAAACGTTGTGCGACGCTGTAACTTTTTGCCACAGTATGGGCCTTGAATTCATCTGGATCGATGCTTTATGCATTTTGCAAGACAGTGATAAGGACAAAGGAAACGAGATTGCCAGAATGAGGGACTATTATCAGAAGAGCGTACTCACAATATGCGCCGCTTCCGCTTCGCATTGCGCGCAAGGACTATTTGACATCAAACGACCATCATACGGAATGGGTCCAATCAAGTTGGCATTCCAGCCAGCTGATGGGAAGCCTGGTCACATCTTCTTATCCACCACGCCTGGTCCGCAACCTGAGGTCCTGACGACTCGAGGATGGACTTTACAGGAGTCTATGCTATCACGAAGAATGATCATATTTGCCCAAGACCAACTCTACTGGTCATGCCAAACGAGCTACTCGGCCTGCTCGGGCGTCATGATCAACCGGTCTTTCGGGGGACCCGAGAGCCTTGTGGACAACATCTACCCGATCACGACTCTATATGAGCGACCTCTGCAGAGCCAGTGGGAGGCGATCGTCAGGAATTACTCAAGACGCCATTTTGGATTCGCCGCAGACAAGCTCCCGGCAGCTTCTGGTTTGGCAAGCGTCGTTCACGACATTGCCCGAAGCCGAGGTTTCGACAAGTACGTTTTCGTCGCAGGCTTGTTCATCGACATGAACCAACCTCATTCCTGGGCGGACGAGTTACAGTGGTGCACCCGTTCTATAGACGCCAGCCGTTACGACGACTACGTCGCTCCGTCATGGTCATGGGCGAGTGTTAATGGTGCCGTTCACGTGTATCCTCGAGGTGTCCACAAAGCTCCAAGAGAGTCAAGTCCCCCATTCTTCACCGTCGAGGACTACGGCGTCACTCTTGTTGATCGACGGATACCCTACGGCGCTGTAACGAATGGCTTTCTCGCACTCAAGGCAAGACTGCGCAGCTTTCCTGGAATGGTATCACTGGATGGCATTGACATCATCTCCGCGTTGGAAGATGCCACACGGGATGATCGTCCCAGGGAAAGCCAGCTGCAAGCAGTTACCAACCCGTACTTGGAGATTATCGCAGATACTAGAGAGTCCCAGTCGCTGATAGAGGTGAGTTCTGCAGATACAGGGGTATTTCTCCTGCGAATGGGCCCTGCGAGTGGTCTGTTAGTCACAGGCCCGGGTTTGGCGGAAGGGTACCGACGACTCGGGTATTTCGAAGTGCAAGACAACGAAAAGGGTGGCAAGTCACTAAGCAAGTCTACAGAGGCCATCACGGACCTGGTTTTTGAGCAGGAGCAATTTCAGAGCATCTTGTTGGTGTAGGGTCTAGTGGTCCACTGCCTTACAGTCTGATCGCACTCTTGGTCCATATCGCCCCATCCATTAGGCTTATCTAGGAGTTTTCCCCCCAAGTAGCAACTTCCATCAAAATTACAAAAACGACGGGCTAGGTTGAAGCCTTTGTGTGAGACATTGATGAAGGCAATACGCCACAAATTGTTCTGCCAGCGTCATACGGAAAACAGTATCAATCCTTTCCCTACGACTGCCTGTTGCTCTACGATCCTCAATTCCGGCACTAATAAAGACCTTTACTTTGATGGATACTAGCGCTTTGCTACTGGCGGTTTAAAGTCTGATAAAAAGCGGCTGATGAACTGGATGGCCTCTTCTTGAAGGGGTTCCGTGCAAGGCTGTAGCTTCTGGCCCAGTAGATCATTCCCGTAAACGCCTTTTAGATAGAGGGCTACGTTCTTAAAACACTGAGGGCTTGTGCGCTGCTGAACAACGAAACTAGGGAGAGATGAGAAGGAGTTTTCAAGTTGGTTGAGGTATACCACTTACGATTTGACATTGGTGGGAGACAGAAGCTCCCGAACATCTCTAGAAAATGTAGCATAGGGATTGAAAGTTTGGGATGTTATGGAAGCCTCCCAAGCCCCTCGTGATGAATCTTTCCAATGTGCCGTGTGAACCCAGTATGATGTTCCGGATCGAGACAAGCTCTCGTTATCCTCTTTTCTGTTCGCATTGTTCCAATCTAGCCCGTTGTAAATTTCTCTCGGAAGATCCTTGAGCTTTATCCAAGCGTCAATGAAAGCTTCCAGTTTCGACTCCCCAGGGATAGACAACCGAATACCTATAATCCATGAGTACTCGACTGGCCAACAAAGAGCCGATCGGATCGTGTATTCAAGTTGATTGACTTCCAAGCCGTGAGCCACTCTTATGGTCTGATTTTCTTTCCCGCTCCGGACGTAGGTATGATACTCAATTCTGCTGACGCATGTGGTTGGGGCATGACCTAAAAGCCGACTCAGGTCTTTGCGAAAACTCCTTTTGGTGGTAGTGAGCGGACGTGGTTTTAGTGAGAGTGACTCTTTCTCGCGTTGCCCTTCGGCTGTGTTGTCGCCATATTTGGGAAATAAATGGCCCTCAAACTCTTCTGGAAGTCTTGCGACAATAGGGTTTTCCGTCACTTTGAGCCATTTATAGAGGTTGATAATTATCCCGAATTCGGTTTCCTCCGCTTCCGGAACCGCGTGACTGGTACTGGCCACTGCAGGAGCCCGGGCCCATCCGTTTACAGAAGACAAATCTTTACTAGCCGTATGGTTTCGTGCCAAAACATCAAGCCACTCGTGTAGGAACGTGGTATCTGGGGTCTTTTCTTGAGGCTTCTCGACTTTCGCTGCCATCTTGCAGTCGCTAGCCAAAGCTTTCGCTTCAGGCTGATTTCATGGGCTTGATCGACAATGTTGCTCAAAAGAAGATAGGGATGCTTTAGAAATATTCGGAAAACTAAGTGTTTGAGCTTCTCGGATGACAAGCGTGCGTTTAATAAATTGCTTGGTTTGGTTGGGTGCAATAGGAATGGCTGGCAATGTGGAAATTATGTACTTGGGGAAAACCGGGAAACCTTTTTCCATTTAGTTTGAGGGCCATTAAGGGGGCTGCTCAAGTATCAAATTGGATCGAACGGGTGCAGGCTGAGGGCTTTACCGCGTGTCTGCCTTGTGTCTGCCTTGTGTATGGGTGCCTCATATGTCCACTAACCCTGGGGGGCAAGCGCACTATCAGCTGACTGGATTTACATAAAAGTCTAAGATGCTACTATTTCCATGATTTTCATGTTATCGGTCGTTACGGGTATGCAGAAATCTCAGTCGCGCGGATTATGTCGTACATACACCTGTTCGGCTGTGCTCTTCGATAAGTATCCGGCTCTGCCTCTACCTGCTAACATTTAATGAGCATTTGCTGAGCCTTAATTACCGACCCTGCTTAAGCTGAGCACCGCGATATGTAGGGCCATCTTTCAGTAACATGACCCCCCTTTTCACGTACATCAATTTAATCGTGACTTCGATGACCACTCTGGTTGAAGACATGCTTAACGCAATGCAAGTTCCTTTAAAGTTCGTCTCATTCCACCTCAAGCCTTTCGCAATGTTCGTGAACCATTGTCTGTCAGTGATTATTTGAACCTGAAGATCAAATTCACTGAGCTATGCCAAGAACAAATCAAGTGAATGAATGAAGAGTGATGAGGATATAAGACCTATATTGTCCAGCAACTTTAGTTGAAGATACGACATTCATGAAATGAGCACAAATCAAATCGCCAAGAGTCCGAAACAGAGATCCTAACCTAAAACACAAATGGATTACAGGGGCTATTACGGAAAGGAGCGCCAAGAGCGCATCCAACGGGAGCAGCGGGAGCACCGGAGCGTCATCGCTCGCGAAGAACGAGAGGTTAGTAACGACTCCCATTTCATGATCTCAGCAGCATGAAGAGCACAAACCCCCTCAACTCTATCTTATTCCTGGAAACACCACGCTGACGGTGCATGTTTTGCTGAAGAGGCAGGAACGCGAGCGCAAACAGCGAGCGCGCACGCGTGAGATGAGGCAGTGTGATGCCAGCGGTTCTATGAAATGACACAGCAGATTCAGAGCCATCATCGGAGTAGACAACTCCTAGAATGAGAGCACAGAAGATCAAGTTCGAAGTAAATTAGACTTTAGATTAGCTCTTGGTGCTGCCCTCTTCCGCATTTTCTCTTTGATCGTTTCCCGGGAAGCATAATTGAGCATTGGAATTCATTCAGTAACGTCGTAAAACCGTGAAGGACGTCTTCAAATCGAACATAGATCAAAGTAAGAATTCTTCTTAAACAACAACTCGTTTTCTAGGCACCTTGGGCCAAATAGGCTCGAAAAGCCGACATGTCTCCATATGCAGATTCTCGCTCCAGGGTTGGGTACTATGCTGCAACCAATCATTTCCAAACACGCAGTCTTTTTTCGAGAAAACAACATATTTAAACCCTAGATCGCTTGTACGCTGGTCGACTGTCAGACTGTGATGATTCCATTAGCTCAATAATCTCCATGGCGGGTTCTTGGAATGGTACTTACGTTCGGCATTGGGAAAAGAAGCTGCGTGGGTCTTGGGTCATGGCAGACGGGTCATCAACGCTCTTGATTCTCGTCAGCGCGTACCAACTAGAGTTATTTCCCGGGCCCATCCACTCGCTATGGTGCTCCCAATACCCCTGCCGACGAAATAACTTTTCACGATCCTTTACTCTGGCGTCGTCGGTCCATTGAATACCCTTCTCCAGCTGCTTTGGAAGGTCCGTGAGAAAGAACGTAATCTCGCTGTATAAATAGGAATCGTCTTCGTCGATCTCGCACCGAGCGTACAGCCTCCACTTGTACTTCGAAAGCCAGAGTCCTCCGCTGGTCCAGCGTGCCATGGAACTCGGAATTATTTGTTCGACCTCTCCCACGTCGAGCCCACCAATTATGCGGAGTGTGCGCTTCGTAGCGAGGTAGTAGTGATGCTCGACCTTCTGAGCCGTGTAGCTGGGGAGCCATGCTGAGATCATGGCGATCAAGTCGTCGATGTTCATGCCGTCTTGGTCGTCCTCGGGCCGACGAAAGTCATAGTTGGAATCCCTTGAGTACGAAGGGAAGAATTCTCGTGGAATTCTTGAGACAGTGGTACGGTTGTGTCGAGCCCATTCCCTCAAGCCATCGCACGCCTTTTTGTGATCCCGCCTAACCCATGCGTCTACATCCAGCATAGGGGCGGGTTCCTTCTTGGCGAGCTTTGACAGTGCGTCCGACGCTGTGAAGCAAATTTCGATAACTTTGCACCAGAATTGAACATAGGCTGTTGGAAATGGAATGATGCGGGTATAATCCGTCGGGGACAACTCTCTTTTGATCCGATCTGCATCTTGGGTTGCAGTTCGCCGGGGCGCGTGGCGTGTCATCGCGGCTGACGTCTGAGGACGGTCTCGACCAGCATTGTGAACAGTCAACTTTTTGAAAGGAAGGATGCGAGCGCTTTTTATGTTTTTCTTCGTACGTGTGCGTAAGTTCTGTACCTTGGCAGGCTTCATTTAACCTTGAATTATTGGAAACGCCCACAACCCGGATGACTATGGCGCTCGATATCTCATTTAACATTAATGTGGGAAGCCGTTCCGAGCTTACGACAACAATATCAAGCCATTTCTAGCTTTTCGCACTTGCTGGTGCTGTCGCTATATCACGGAGTATTTTACATCGACACCAGGGCCGTCATGAACCGGTTCGATCAAACAGTTAGAGCACAGATCTCCTTTTCTGTTATTGAGAAAGTTGAAGCTCGAAGGGGGGTTCATCGTAGGAAAAAGGGCAGTACAATCTCCCTACCATCTTAAGCAGTCAAGTTGATCATAGCTTACTGACAATCAAGGGATACTTTACCAGAAAAAAAAATGAAAAAGCATCAAGATTTAGTATGGCACTGCAATGTCCAACATCAATAGCCTCCGGCGACTCGTGTAATGCCTGGCGCCGTGCCAATTATACCTAGCAATACACGGTGTGGGGCATACGTTGACCCCCGAACCGGCCTCCGCCCGCACCTGCCCGGGTTGTGGCGCCGTTTGATTCGTCGCTGACCGGGGAGCGTAGCCCCGACGAGTCCGATGCGGAGTGATGTCAGTCGCACGTCCCTTCCCGACTTCATCCATACTTGCTGATCTGACAAGCTAGGCCACAGCTCATCACTTCAACGTCACACTTCTCACATCTCATCCACAAAAGGAACATCACGAAACGTCCAGCACCATGGGTTTGAAGGTAAGTACTGCTGGCAATGCCACAATTCGCGGTGCTCACAATGGCAATTAGACACTTTCGGCAAAGGCGGCCGCAGCGCTGGACAAGGAGCTGATGAGCACTGGTGCCTTTTCCATCGACCAACTGATGGAGCTCGCTGGTCTCTCCGTCTCACAAGCAGGTCAATCAACAGCCGCCCGCTACGCGTTCCTCGGGACCAATCGCTGACGCCAAGTCCAGTGTACCGCGTCCACCCGCTCAGCAAGGGTCCGAATGTTCTTGTTGCCTGCGGGCCCGGCAACAACGGTGAGCGTCGCCTGCACCTCGCGCCTCGGCGATATAAGCTTATTTCGCATCATAGGTGGTGATGGTCTAGTCGCCGCCCGTCACCTTCGTCACTACGGTTACAAACCCAGCATTTACTACCCCAAGCGGAGTAAGAATGAACTGTACCAAGTGAGTGAGGATGTATCTACCTTTTGTCTATCTCGTCATTATGAGTCGTGGATGCATAATACATTGGGGGGCAAGTGCTCCTTCTGGGAACGTTGCCAACACACTCTATCAGCGACTCTCGTCGTCGAGTCTTTTCCACATCGCACATGATTTAAGATGCTTTTGCTTTTGTGAGAATCTCTTCCACCTACGCTTCGCTATGCAAAGTCGCACAAACCTTTCATTGTGCTCGCTCCTCCTCCCGAGAAAGAAAACGGCGGCATAGTTTGCGTGTATATCATGCTGCCCGTACAATCGAATTCCTCAGGAAAATTTTGTCGGGGGCTTGCCGTGCATCGGATTGTGGCTAATCGTTTTCTCAGCGACTGGCGCAGCAGCTGGAGGACCTGAACGTCCCATTTGTGGACGACTTTCCCACGGCCCTGAAGTCGACGGACCATATCGTGGATGCCATCTTCGGTTCGTTCAAGAAGTGCTCTTTCTACTGTTGACTGTCGTTCCGCGCGCCTAACGTCGTGATCTCAGGATTCAGCTTCTCTGGCGAGGTCCGGGAGCCCTTCCCGGCGGTGATCAAGGCGCTCGAGGAGACGAAATTGCCCGTAACTTCAGTTGACGCCCCATCATCATGGAATATCGAGGATGGCCCGCCATCGTCTGGCCTCGGCAGCTCTTTTCACCCTGAGGTACTCGTCAGCCTGACAGCACCTAAGCCGTTGGTGAAGCATTTCAAGGGACGACACTTTGTCGGAGGAAGGCATGTCCCAAGCTCGAGGAACCCCAAAAATAAGAAACTTTCGCAGGCTAACCTTGGGAGCAGATTCGTTTCGCCAGGTATTGCTGAAAAATACAACCTGGACCTTCCACAGTACGAAGGCATCGACCAGGTGGTAGAAGTGGACAATAACGGTCAGAAGCTGTAAATAAGGTTAGTTTTTCCAAAACTTGGAACATTTCTTCCGGTGATTTTGACAAAGACACATGTTTGCTTACTTTGAGTTTCTTGTCGTCCAGGGGTAGTTGTCTAAATGACCAGACAGCCTCCCACTCGGCTGTTTGGACAGACAGGACTTGGACATCGACCGTCGAGCATCTGCATTGGGCGAACTACAAGACCCTTGGGACACTCCAGAAGGGGAGGATGGTATTCGTGGCAGAAGGCGACATAGACGAGGTATAGTCTCCGACAGACTGGACAAACAGATTTGTGCTCAACGCACATGAAAGCCGAATGAACAAGATTTCGCGCTTCTAGGAAAGCGTCGTTTTTCGGTGATGGTCGTAGGTGGTGAAGGTGATGAAAACGCGGGTAGTTGTTCTGTGTGCTCGGAAGAGGGCAACATGGAAGTGTAACTATTCCTCGTCAAGGCAATGGACAACAAAGCGGATGACAATAGGTGGAGGGACCACCAGGCTTGGTGCTGCTGCTGCTGCTGCTGCTGCTGCTGCTGCTGCTGCTGGCTGCTGGTGTGCCAGACTAGCGGCCCAAGTGTGGCTGATATAAAGAGCAGATGTGGCTGCTGCCCCCCGGCGAATATGCCGGTCATCCAATGGGACTGAAGAATTTGTGAAAGAATCGCCACACGGTCGGTTCCACAGGGACCCTTGCCAGGGCCGGAGCGTTTTTAACGACTGACGTTGTGACGAGGGTGCCGGAGGATCTTTCTTTGGTTGGTAGATGCAAACTGGGGGGGACCGTTGACGTTGGACGAGGGGGGGGTTCAAGGGTGTGTGGTGAGGCGTGAGCCACTGAAGAAAGCCTGGGCCAAGCGTGCGTGTGAGCGACGGCTTTCCGGGAGGGCTAGGGGGTAGCAGCGGGGTGTTTAAAAATCAAGGGAAAAACAGAGAGGTGATAGGGGCGAAAGGTGAGGGAAGGGAAAAGAAGGGGAAAGGATGGGAGAAAGGTAAAAGGGACCCGAGGCGACTCGAAACGACGTGAAGTGACGGGAAGGGTCCAAGGAAGGGGCTGTCCGAGGGGGCAGGGCAGAGAGGCAGAGTTGAGGGTGAGTGAGGAAGTGAGGTGGATAACAAGCCAACGCAACGGTGCGGAACAGAGCGACAGAGAGCGAGGCAGAGTCTAAGAGACTGATGAATAAGAATTTTGATTTGTCTAGTTGGGTATATTTTGGTGCGTCCCATATTCCATTCTTTTTTACGACAATCCCAGTCCGCGACTCCCCTCCCTTCAAGCCAGACGGACAGGCCAGGTAAGAAGGTAGAGGGAGGGTACGGGAGGGACAGCACGAGGTACTCGAGGTACAGAGTACTTGGAGTAACAGTGAGTTTAGTCAGGCAAAAGGCAAGGACAGACAGGGTACGAAAGTGTTAGGTGTGTCGAACAGCAGTGAGTAGGTACGGTCCTAAGGTAAGGCAAGGTAGAGAAGGGCAGAATTCCCCCATCCCCCATCTGCAATCCCCAGGCCCAGGGACTGAGGGATTCCGGGCTGGGGCTTGGGAGGGAAATCAGGGACCCAGGGACCCAGGGAAAGCCTGGACTAGCCACTACCACTCACTATGTGAGGTAAGGTTCCTACGGGTACAAAGAGCAAAGCCACAATCAATGACCTCCAATTGCCCAATGCTCTCCAACAGGAAGGGAATTGAGCTGGTGAGGGCACCGAGTGGAGGGACTAGAGGGACTACTATGTAGAGGGCGGGCTCAGGGAAGTTATTTGATGGGGCAACTCTCCAACTCCAACAGCTTGAAGCAGCAGACGAAGACCGGGAAGTCCCCATTTGGAGCCTTTGGGGCCCTACCGGAGCAAATGCTCCTCATACCCCCTGTGATAGGACCGAGCGGCAAGGCAACGCTTACGGGGCCGCATGGAGCACTGAGTGACACTACCGAGCGGAACCCGCTTTTATTTCTCTGTCGAACTCGAACGGAATCCACCGTCCAGCACACTGCAGTGAACAAGCCACCCGTTTTTCGCAGTGCAATTGTGAGGTGAGGTGCTGCTGCCATTCCGTGGCCAGTGTCGAGCGAGCGGAGAGTGGTGTCACTCGGTGCAGTGAATGGGTGGCAGGTGCAAGTGGCGCCGCTACTGACGGGAAGGCAAGAATGAGATGCGCCGGCTCAACGCTGCTGCCCATTGTATTGGCCCGGGACAATGGTCTAGCCATGAGGGCACTTTGCGCTTGCCGTCTGCTAATCATGTACCGTGTCGGAATCGTTGCATTGTTCTTTCCCACTAGGAGAAAGGAACCAGCCCGCCTCGGTCTTGCCCACGAGGCAATGCGATGGCAACCAGAGGGAAAGCACGGTTGGCCTACCCGTCGCCTGCCCGAGGAAGGAAGCCAGCCGTGCCGTGCTTGTAGAATGGAAGGAAGGGTCCAACAGGGATTCAATGCGAAAGTAGCAGGTACATGTGCCACATTCGTTCGTCGCGCCTTCCTCTTCCTCTCAACTGCGGAGTACGTATCCCGCAACTGCCCACCCCGAGATTCCCATCTGATCAGCTTCCGCGTGCCGTGCCTGACTGTTCCCGGCCTTCCTTACCTCACCTTGCTTGCCCGCCACGCCTCGTCCGGTCAACCTTCCCCCCACCTTGAGGTCCTGTCTTCATTATCGTCATACTTCATCGCACGTCTCCGACATCCTTTTTCGTCAACCAACAACGCAAGCGGGGTCGAAACTTGTCACTTCGCTCTGTCCGCTTGCTATTTTCCTCCTACCCTCTCTGCAGGATCCATTCACAGACGAGTCGTGCTACTCTGCTCGGTTTCCGACCCCCGGGGCACTGCGTTCTGAGGTTCCAATCTCCGTGTCGGAGGAGGAAAAAAGGGCTTACCTTCGTCAGTTCAGGACGATTAGCTCCGGACCGCCAGGGCAGGGAGACAGGGCATCAGGGCAAAAAGTGGCGGAGAACACACGACGACGAGCTCGATATCGCAATTCAACCCGAAAATCCCATCCGGCCCGCGTGGCCTTTGATGTACCCAGCCTATCCTATCGCCTTGTCGCATTTCGCTGTCAATCCGTCAGCTGCCTCCCCCCTGCCCTGTCGCTTCCTCGTGAGCCGACCCGGTCTGTAGGTGCAAACACCACGTCATAGACAACCACAAGCTACACCACAGCTTCAGCCCCGTGGGATGGCAACAACGAGCACCTCCTGGCACGGTTGGAGTCAGGACTTGGAGCTCAAATTCTCCGACAAGAACAAAACCACAAAGTTCTCGAACCGTCACCGCCTCAATTGGATCATGGTGGCCTCTACTCGGCAGGCGACGACATCAAGAGGAGCCAGTCCAGCTTCCTCGGGCGTTCCCGACACAGCCAACAATGAACGCACCATGCCATCGACACAAATGGCGTGGGGCCGCACAAGGCAATCGTGCTGGGAGCCCTTCGCCTGAGGAACATGAACATTCACATCAAAGTCAAACGAGGAGATACTCCTACAGGCAGGCCACAAGGTGCACGAAACTTCTGGTGGCTTCGAGAAAGCAAAATGGGCGCGTCTGGACCCTGTGGTGGCCCTGGACGGGAATGCCCTCTTGGCCTCCCGCCAGGAGGAAGCTAGAGCAGCCCTGGTGGCGAATCACCTTCCATTGGCCCCCACCAACTTGAGGCTCATTTCCTGGCTACTGCCCGCGCATGTGGCAGCTGGTGCACGACGGTCGCTGAGGCCATGCGCACCGCAGCTATTGGACGAGCCCGGTAGCCACAGTTGCCGTGATTGTGGCCCGTCAGACTCTGCGATCTCCCTCACAAGACCCTCAGTCAGGGATCGCGCCGCTTCCTGGAGAAACCTCCCCACGCTGTTCCGTCCCAACCACGATTCATTGGTGCTTCATCAACACCTAGCTCCCGAATCGCTGTGTCATTGGTTACGCGCATCCGTGGAGAACACTTCTTTGCAATGCCTCGCCCACACTGTGCTTGGCGGTCAGCAGCTCGGCATCAAATTGCAGCCAGTCGCATGTTTGCTTTAATTGTGAAATTCGTCGGAAGAACGCCTCGCCATGGCAGCGGTCACCAATGCCATGGCACGGTGGGCATTTGTTTGCTGCAAGCTTCGTAATTGTTCTGCAGTTTGAAGCATTTCGTCCGCTTCAGATGCCAGTGGGTGGTGGCAGGTCACCACGAGGGTCAACGTGGCGGATAACGGTCCCTTCCGACCAGATTCGGCGGATTTTGGCCCTTTACGCAGGGGTCTAACAAGGGTCCAATACAATGATATGAGATAAATGATGAGGCCCCGAGTGGGTAGTCCAATCGAGCTGGTGGACATGACTTGAAGGCCTCCGGTGGTCCCAGAAGGGCGGATAACGAGTGTCGACGTTCAAACGAGATGCAACCGCTGTAGCGGAGCGGGCAGGCAGTGCGAGCAGGGTATCGCAGTTCTGCAATTTCTTGCTTGCTACAACTGCTTAACGAAAATGGTCAAAATACCCCGGTACCCTCCCCGCCAGCTCGACCCTCGCACCCGGTCCATCATCATCTTCCCTGGAGAAACACCTCCGCCGTCAGCTCCTCGTCTCGACTCACGTCATCATGGATGGCAGTGGGCACACGAATCTGACCGTCACGGCTCGCATACCCGCTGTCGACACCCAACGAGATTGAGTTTTATCGTCCCAGCTGTCCCGGCCGTGTGTTGACTAGAGTACAACGACACACCCCGGCCGAATACGCCCGTGGGCCTCACACTCGAGTCGTGCTGAAGTTTTCGAGATACCGCCATCGGTTTCTGCATGCAATTCTGTCTGTGTGTGTTGTTCTGATAACCGACAGCTAGCTCTGGCCCCACACCGAACCCCGCCTACACAACAAAAGGGGGCTTTGGTCTCCTGCAACGCAGTGAGTGTTTGCTGCATCCTCATCCTTTCTCATGTTGGGCCGCGACCTTGTGCCTTGGCTTTTGACCAGCGGCGTTCTAGGAACGCTGGATGCCGGGCAATTATCTCCGGTGCCGCTCTACGACACAACGCCGCTTTGTCCGTACCGACGACACCTCAACACGGGCTCCCGGATCCCAGTCATCCTACCGACAGCAACAGATATCAATGGTCCGTGTCTCGGAGCTGGCTCCGACCCGACGGCCTCGCATGAAAATCAGTACTCTTCTTGGAGACATCGTCTGTCGTCCCACGGAAGCCTCAGCGGCGGTGACCACTGAATAAGCCAATCCTTTTTGCGACTCGTCTAGATGATTCTAGAGGTGAGAGTTTCGGGCAAACCGTGCTGATCCTTGCCGCTTGGGGAAACGCACGGCGATG